GGAAGGAAGGAAGGAAGGAAGGAAGGAAGGAAGGAAGGAAAGAGAAAGAGAAAGAGAAAGAGAGAGAAAGACCAAGGAGGAGGGGCCTTCATCTGCCAGGGCTGCCATAACAGAGGCCCACGGCCTGGGTGACTTAGAAAAGTTCTCATAGTCCCAGAGGCTGGAAGTTCCTGATGAAGGTGTCAGAAGGCTTGGTTTCTTCTGAGACCCCCCGCTCCTTGGCTTGCAGATGGCCGTCATCTTTCTGCATCCTCACGTGCTCATCTCTCTGTATTGCCTGTGTCCTAATTTCTTTTTTGTTGTTGTTTTTTTGTTTTGTTGTTGTTTGAGACAGGGTCTTGCTCTGTAGCCCAGGCTGGGGTGCAGTGGTGTGATCTCAGCTCACTACAGCCTCCGCCTCCTGGGCTCAAGTGACTCTCATGTCTCAGCCTCCCAAGTAGCTGGGATTATAGATGTGCACCACCACGCTTGGCTAGCTTTTGTATTTTTAGTAGAGATGGGGGGTCTCACTATGTTGCCCAGACTGGTCTTGAACTCCTGACCTCAAGTGATCCCCCTGCCTCGTCCTCCCAAAGTGCTGGGATTACAGGGGTGACCCACAGCACCTGGCCTCTAATCACTTTTCATGGGGCCACCAGTCCTACTGGATTAGAGGTCCACCCTAACAGCCTCATTTTAACTTAATCACCTCTTTAGAGATCTGATTTCCGAGTATGGTTCCATCCTGAGGTACTGGGTATTGGAAGCCTCAACATGTGGATTTTGGCAGGACACAATTCAGCCCATTGGCTGCCGTAGGAGCTCAGAGGGGAGATGACAGCCACAAATTCAGGCAGCAGGGGTGCAGCTAGGAGCAGAGAGAAACTGGCATGGAAAGCTGCTGGGGGGATCCGAGATGACACCCAGTTTTTAGCATGGACAATGGTGCCATCTGCAGAGGTGCTGGCAGGGAATGGAGATGAGGAGGGATGTGTTTCTTCTGCAGTATGTGACAACGACTGCAGGCTAGGATTTGTAAGAAAACAGCTGGAGCCTGAGGTCTGAGTATTATACTATGTGGAGGGCAGCTGAAACCAGATGTGAAGATGAGATCTCTGCCCAGAAAATGTAGAGCGAGAACAGAAGACCGGCAACCAAACCTTGAGGAAGAGAAGCTTCTGAGGAGTGAGCAGACTGCGAGGATTAATCATTTGTAATTAAGACTCAGAAACAAACAGAAGCACTAGCCATCTTCTTTCTGTTTAGCCGGAAGCAGAGTCCTACTAAACCATAAAGAAGTGATGGGAACCGAGAGCACTAATAAAGATGAAATTATGTGAACCACGAGTTCCATAAAAAGAGACTGCAACGCGACTCAAGGAAGGAGTTATTGATGGGTCCTTGGTTTGTTAATTAGAGGTCTGGCTTTCTCTGTCTTCTCATTTACTACATTATGCTGGTGAATTAATAGATTTCTCAACAAAAGGACATTTAAATCAATGTATGACACCTGTTTAAATTCTTAAGCAGCCATTAATTACACATTCTTAAGAAAATGAGCTATGACACAACTCTCCTAACTGCATAATTCCTATCTGTGATTCTTAATCAGACGACTTTTCAGCTGCAAGACGGATCTTTTCTATTCATCTCCTCTGGTTCTGACCAATTAAACGTTTTCTTCCGTAATCATAACATGTCATGTGCCAAATCTTCAAAAGAAAAGGAGCTTGTTAGCAACATGCTATTTCCTGTTGCTAATTTATGCTGAATTTGAATTCTTAAAAGTATAACATATACGTGTAGAACATTATTAACACATCCAGCCTTAGTTAAAAAAAAAAAAAAAGCAATATTTTCTTTGGCTTGATTTTATGCAAAGTTTTGAAGAGCAATTCTTTTTTTAAAAAAATCTTTATCAATTAATAATTGTATTTCTATAAATTGAGGTTAAATTTTTTGCACATAATTTGTATAGACAGAAAATACAAGTACAAATTATAAGGGTGTGTAGGTTTGTTCAGAAGGAATCATTATTTTCTCAAGGAATTAGAATGCCTATGTAGACAGCTCTTTGTTTTATAGCTTGACTCATGTTTAACTCTTACTGACAGCATGTATCTTCAAGTCATTTGCTTCATAACCATCCAGTAGCCAGTATAGATTTCTTTTCCAGAAACCAATCATTCCCAGACATCAAAGCTTGAATTTTGCTACACTGAGGATTTCCGACCCAATCCAGGGGCAGAGCTGGGGAGCAGTGGTCTGGTTCCTAGTCAGCCACTCAGCCTTGAATTCAACCCTGACCTGGCTAGGCCTAGCTCTCAGAGCTGCTTACTAAGCAGGGGTAAATCAAGAGTTTATGGCATTGGCCGGGTGCGGTGGCTCACGTTTGTAATCCCAGCACTTTGGGAGGCCCAGACGGGCAGATCGCCTGAGGTCAAGAGTTCAAGACCAGCCTGGCCAACGTGGTAAAACCCCGTCTCTACTGAAAATACAAAAATTAGCTGGGTATGATGGAACATGCTTGTAATCCCAGCTACTTGGGAGACTGAGGCAGGAGAATTGCTTGAACCCAGGTTTGGGGGTTGCAGTGAGCCGGGATTAAACCACTGCACTTCAGCCTGGGAGACAGAGCAAGACTGCATCTAAAAAACAAAAGAGTTTATGGCATAGACGAGGGCCACATCTGGCCACACAGGTACAGTTACCTACTGTCTGTGGCTAGACAAACTCAGCTACCCCATTTATGTACATATTGCCTATAGCAGAGTTGAGTAATGCATAAGCAAAGCCTAAAATATTTACCATCTGGCCCTTTTCCAAAAAAAAAAAAAAAAAAGCCGACTTCTGGTATAGACTATTTGCTCTTTTCAATCCAAACACCTCAAAGTACTTTGACCATGAAAACATATTCAATCCTCCCTGAAGAAAGAGGTTATATAAAGATACATTCCGGCTGGGCATGGTGGCTCATGCATGCAGTGCCAGCACCTTGGGAGACTGAGATGGGAGGATCACTTGAGGCCAGGGCTTTGAGACCAGCCTGGGCAACATAGTCAGACTCTGTCTCTCCAAAAACTAATAAAAAAAAAAAATTAGCCAGGCATGGTGGTGTGCGCCTATAACTCCAGTTCTTCAGGAGGCTGAGGCAGAAGGAGCTCAGGAGTTCAAGGCTGCAGTGAACTATAATCCCACCACTGCACTCCAACCTGGATGACCAAGCAAGACTTCATCTTAAAAAAAAAAATTCTGGTCGGGCGAGGTGGCTCACGCCTGTAATCCCAGCACTTTAAGAGGCCGAGATGGGTGGATCACCTGAGGTCAGGAGTTTGAGACCAGCCTGGTTAACATGGTGAAACCGTGTCTCTACTAAAAATACAAAAATTAGCCAGGTGTGGTGGCATGCACCTGTAATCCCAGCTACTTTGGAGGCTGAGGCATGAGAAGGGCTTGAACCCAGGAGGCAGAGGTTGCAGTGAGCCGAGACTGCACCACTGCATTCCAGCCTGGGGGATAGAGCGAGACTCTGTCTCAAAAAAAAAAAATTAAAAACCAACAACTACCACTACCAACAAAAAACATTCTAAGAAGCAACCACTTCGTTGTCTACCACCATTCGATGCGGATCTGTATCAAGAAGCAGCTTTCTTTTATTCTTACACTATCCCCTTTTAGTTGGGCCCTGGTATTCCCTGTCCTCTAAAAGAAGTCTGGAAGCAAACCATCATTTGGTCTAATGTAACACAATACATTATGGTCTTTTGGTAGATGTGAGTCACTGATTTTTTTGCCCATCGAGTCAATAATATTTGGGAGCCTGCAAAATTGGGGGCTGGAGTTACTGCCCCTCATCTGGGATAGTATGGAGTCTTCAATCATCACACTCTGTTGTCAGTCATCTGGGGACACTGGGCTAGCAAGGCTCACGGGACATTTCTCAAGCGTCCGGCAGGGGGAACATAGCTGGGTAGGAAGCTTGCCTGTCTCCATTGTACATTGCTTGCTCATCACACATTGAAAGCCCTTACAGCTTCCTGCCTCCAATTTGACCAGTCCCACCTAACATCTATCTCCAGACCTCACCATCTCACAGGGTACTGGCACAAAGACAAGATGCCTGTGTTTCTGGTACATGCTTTTTTGCAAAATCAAGATCTGCCCAGGGCCAAATCGACTCTTCACATACCAGTCCTCTCACTAACGAAAAGCTAATCATGCATAAATGTGGGGCTGCCCCCGCGTTCAGCCTGAGAACACAGCCAGAAAAGAGGAATTGGAGAGCACAAGAAGGCTCCTCCCTCCATTCGATTATGCTCATCCTCTGACGGCCGCCGATGAGAGCAGCCACAGGTGCGGACACTTCATGAAAGCGGGTCAACAGGGACGTAACCATTCCCAAGCGTTTCTCTCTCGTACCTGATCCCCTTGCAGCGTGTGCTGGTCAAGGGGTGTCTTGGTGGCAATGTTGCTGTAGTAGGCATACGACAGTTCCCAGTCCAGGGGGTAGCTGTCAATACCCTGGTAGTGCTTGTACCCAAGATTCATTGAAGACAGCCTCTCACTCCCTTGGCCTCCAACCAAACTATACAACATGCCCTGTTAGGAAGAAATGGACAAAGTGCTCATGAGATTGTAGACAGGGTCATAAAATCCTGACACTGAAAGGTCATCAGACCCAGTTCCTAAATATAATCCTAGCCCTTCCAGAAATACGTTAACGTGCCTTTTAAAAAATATAATAAAATGAAATAAATCTTTAGGGGAAATAAGCCAACCCAGCTTCCTATTGGTTTAAAAATTTGCAGCCAGCTGCCCTTCCTAATGTCAAATAGCTTAAAACGTCCTGACTTTTGCCTCTTCCTGGTACAAACAGGGATCTTTTGTGACTTCCCCCAGCACCTTTTTGAGCGCCAGCCAACCATCCAGCGACATCATCGATGGACACAGTGTCTGGATGGCAGGTTCCATCCTCATACTCTCAGAACATTAGTGTGGAAGGGTCTTTGGAGATTGACTGGTCTGACCCCCTCATTTCACAGTTGGGAAAAGAGGGGCCCAGGAAGGGGAAGTCAATTGTCCAGGGTCAACCAGCCACTTTGTGGCAAGCTGTTCTCATTATTCCACCCTTGTGGGGACCACTTTGGGGACTCAGGCAAACACGCTGTCATTCAGGAGCATCTGTAAGCCAGAGTCACGACGAGCACATCACTGGATGGGAACAGGGACCCACCTGGGCACATCTCAACAGTCTGAGCCTCCCCAAACCACAAATGCACAATCACCTATGCAAATCTGAAAATGAAAAGCAGTCAGGGAATATTTCACAGTACTTATTGTGATGGTTCATTTTGTGTGTCAACGTGACTGTGCCATTGGGTCCCCAGATGAAACATCCTTTCTGGATGTATCTGTGAAAGCGTTTCGGATGAGATGAACATTTGAACTGGGGAGGTGAGCTGTGCGCACGGCCCTCTTCACTGCGGGTGAGCATCATCCAATCTCTTGAGGGCTTCAATCGGACAAAAAAGCAGAGGAAGGAGGAATTGCTTCGTTTTTGCTTCCTGCCTGCCAGCTTGAGGCACAAAGACATCAGGTTTTTTTTTTTTCCCCTTGCCCTTGGACTGGAATTTATGGCATCATCTCTCCTGATTCTCAGGCCTTCGGGCTTAGACTGGAATTACGCTCCTGGCTTTCCTGGTCCTCAGCTTGCAGACGGCAGACCGTGGGACTTCTCAGCCTCCATAATTGCATGAGCCAATTCTTCATAAGAAACCTCTTCCTATATATATCTAATCCCATTGGTTCTGTTTCACTGGAGAACCCTGACTAATGCACTTATGAAAATGTAATTCTAATGGTAGGCAAGTTGCATAATAAATTTGGATTCAAAACCAGAAATGAAGCCGTCTGGTATGGTGTTTATTTTGATGACAGACTGCTGGATGCAGCAATACTTTGTGCTTCAAGGTCCAAGTGACTTCACTTAGCTAAAAAGTGATGTGGGATAACGGTCTCAGAGCGGAGTAATTACAAGAATTTGGTAAGAAGCACCTGTTCTTGAAGAACTGGGGTTTTGGAAAGCCCTGGGACTGTTCTTTAGCTGGTACACCAATCGTACTCCCAAGGCCTTGTCTAGAAATAGATGAAGTGCCCTTTTTCACTGAAAGCAAAGGACCCTGTATTTAACACAGCCCCAGGACATTTATCTTGAGCGTAAAGATTTTTAAAGGACTCCAAGGAGCTGCAACATGTCCAGTCCTACCAGGGGCATGAGAGCACTGCTCTGCAAATATAACATAAGTGACTGATGGTAATGGAACCATGAAATACTCTACCTGCAGCTGATCCCGAGGAACATTTAGTCCAGTCTCATAAAAGACTGCGAGGTAGTAGGATGCTTTATGGTATCCACAGCAGCTGGAATCCATCAGAAAGGGGACGATAGAGCTAATTTGGTGAAGACCATCAACGCTAGAGAGTCTCTTTACAGCCTTTTCAAATATCTTCCCCCCGATTTCTGATATAGATTCATTTTGGTTCCTTGGCACTGTAAATTACACAATTCAGAGCACACACAATTAATTACCATGGGATCGACATGCTTTAGAAAGAAGAGGAAAAGCCAATTAAAGCACCTGAGTTATTGATATGGTCAGTCTTGCAGTGCCTCAAAATATACCACCTTCCAGGGAGGTAAATTAAACCCTTTGGGGATGCCATGGTGTCATTCTGTAAATAGCTTTTTCTTTGGCACTAAATGACAGCCTAGTATCCTGGGGGAAAGATGTGCTGTATGCAGCTCAGAAAGCGCCCCGAGAGAATCATTTACTCAGTGTAACTCACCACCAAATCAGGACCACTGAAACTTCCAGAGAGACTTCTTCCCCTCTAAGATTCCCTAAAGAAGACTGTGTTTATCTCAGTAACAGTTCCTAGGTGCTGCTCTAAAAAGTTGAGCAAAATAACCTGATTTTTAAATGCTTTTTTCTTTTTTTTTTTTGAGAGGGGCCTTGCTCTGCCACCCAGGCTAGAGTGCAGTGGTGCGATCTTGGCTCACTGCAACCTCCACCGCTTGGGCTCAAGTGATTCTCCTGCCTCAGACTCAGGAGTAGCTGGGATTATAGGCACACGCCACCACGCCTAGCTATTTTTTTTTTTTTTTTTGGTATTTTTAGTAGAGACATGGTTTCACCATGTTGGCCAGAATGATCCCAATCTCCTGACCTCATGATCGGCCTGCCTCAGCCTCCCAAAGTGCTGGGATTACAAGTGTAAGCCACCATGCCCAGCCTTTAGATGCTTTCTAAACATCTTTTGTCCCCAGTTTTTCTCATGGGTCTCCAAATATAATAAAAAGAATGGGTTAACTTTTATTGAGAGCTTACAACATGCCAAGTACTGGGTTATGTGTCTTATGTAAGTTATGTCATTTAGTTGGTACACCTTTATAAGGTCGGTACCATTTTCAGCATCCCCATTTTTCACACAGAGACTGAGACCTGGAGACGAATAACTTGTCTAAAGTTACAAAGGCTGGCAAGAGGCAGAGCCAAGCATGCAGCCCAACTTTGAACGTCACTAAAGCCAGAGTTCAGTCACCCTCCTGCACGTACCCCAGTGAACAGTCAGTTGCCTTAATAGACTCGTTTACATGACTGCTTTAAGCTATATGATGCTTCTTTTTACATAATTCTCCCATGAATCTATAAGCTGCTCATCATTTAAGTCCAAACAAGCAAGTTTTATGGCCCTAGATATATCTGTTAGAGTCCTCTAAAGTCTCTCTTCATTATTCATATCATCAATTCAGCCAACGAATGTTTACTTTCTATTAAGTGCAAGGCACTGTGCTAGATGCTATGTTACAAAAGACCACATAGGATTGCAAAGTACTATTTACATTTAACTTAAGACTTACATTTAACTTAGGACTTGAATTAAATGTAAATGTATATGTAAATAACATTGATTTAAACGTTAAGTTAAACGTCAACTAAAATTTCACCTGCCTAAAAACTATGTCCAACATTTTTTTTCTTCATTCCATCCAAAATTATTATTATTATTATTTTTAAATCTCAAGAGGTACCGAGAGACTCACTCTTTCTTATTAGCCCTTCATCAAGATTGAACCGAGTAGAATCTGCCATGTGGGAAGGTTAGGGATGGGTTTACTTCAGGGCAATTCCCTTGCAGAAGTCCATGCTAAAAGAGGAAGTCGGGATCAGAAGGACCCACAGATGAAATTGTGAATGCTGACACATTGTCAGTGAGTGGGTGCTGGTCCCTGGGGGCACACAGGCGGGTTAGGTGTTCCTGAGAGGGGGACACTGTGCCTGTGCTTGCAGAGCCTGGGCTGTGGGGAAGGAGGTAGCCACCACCTCCACCAGCTCTAAGGCGTCCTCTAGCTACTGGCTCCTGGAACTCCTCCCTGCCTACCCGCTGACTCTGCCTTTGCTTCTTTGATGGCAAGTACCTGGCACAGCAGGTGCTGAAAAAATTCACTTTACTGAACGAATGGAGTTTGTTCCTTTCTCTGTATTTTTTTAAAACTCCCCAGAGAAATAACAGCTTGTTGTAAAAAGAAAAGAAATACAGATTTGTATAAAATAAAAACAGAAATCCCCTCTCCCTCAATCTTTCTTTAATAATGAAGACAAAAACTGTTAAAAGCTTGGTATGTAGGCTTTGAGACTTTTCCTTTGTATATACAGTAATTCGTATCCACATCTATTTATATATCTACATACACATTTTCTTAACCAAAATGGCATATTATGCCATTGTAGATTCTGACTCTCGACTTCCTTTTTTAAATTAACTACACATTAGAATAACTCTCCGAGGCTGTCAGAAGCTCATTCTTTCTAATGCTTCAATAGCACTGCATTCCATAGCTGTACTATTTTCTCTGCCAGGCCTCTATTTTTAGACTCCTGGGTTGTTTCCAGTGATTTTACTATAACCAACAACATGGCAATGAATATCCTCGAACATGTCCGTTTCCCTCTGCTAATCTGTTAGGATGATATCTACATGGTAACACCCTTTTTTCAGCAGCAGCCTGGGGAGTCTCATCTTGGATTTTCCCTTTGCATAGTTGAGAGAAGTCCGATCTACCCAATCTTTAACCATGATAAGAACGTGGTACACTGAATTCAGTAGGCATTGCAGCACTCAGAGTTGCAAAATAAATTCTACTGCCACTTATTCATGTGTTTACTTTTAAAGATGTGCTCATCTCGGATGCCTCTCTGCACATTCCTAGCAAAGCAACATTAACATTTGTTAACGATTCATCCCTGTCTCACCTACTCTGCCAAATGCCTAACTAAGATGATGAGTTTTGCCACAGTACCCGTGGACCTGAGCTTTGTGGGCTCAGAGGAGGGAAGAGACTCCAAACCAAATGAAGCTTCAAATGAAATGAATCGCCCGCCCTGCCGACTCCTGGCACAGAACCCCAGAAATCATTAGCAGGAGCGCCCAGGTAGCTGAAATTGCTGGAGAATAAGGAGCAAAAAGGGAATCCTTCACAAAGCTCAAATCTTAGCACAAAAACACTTTGCAGATTGAAACACAGGTAGTTTGAAAGGGCTGTGTTTTTTCTTTTGTACATGAAATTCAAAACCTCCCCCCAAAATATAACCAAACAATATTTTCCCTGAAAAGGAATCTAAATAATTTTCTGCACTAGTAAATACAATAAAAAATAATAATTGTAAGGTAAAGCTGCTCATTTTGCACATTTGGTAAACTCTGAATTCCAACTCTTGCTCAAAAGCAAAGGCATAATGTCTTGAGTGATATTGTGAAACCGGCGATTTTAAAGTCAGTTTAATGAAACTGTTAATTTCACCCATCTGGCTTAGCATATGCATTTTTTTCTAGTCAATCTGTAACTAAAAACATGCCTTGTTTATGGAGATTAATGGTTTAATGAAGAAACAAACAAACAAAATAGAAGAAGCTATTTTCTTTCTTTCAGCACCCAAAGCAAAGGAATAAAAGCCACAACCACCATTAATTAACCCTTACTATTTCCAATGTAGCACAGAATCGTTTATTTTGCTCTTCTTTTTCTCTCTTTCTTTTTTTTTTTTTTTTTTTTTTTTAACAGTAATACCATAAGGTCACTGTTTGTGTGCTCATGATTAGAAGAGGCAAAAAGGAAGAATATGGCAAGGTCCCGGGGCTGGGACCAGTGTCTGTTTGAGAATTCAGGAGGAGAAAGGCACCTCAGTCCTTGTGAGAGGAACGGAGACATCAACAGGAAAGTCATTTTTAGTTTCAAGCTTCTGAAAGGTGTAATGCATCCAAAGTAGAAATTTGAAAGGGAAAAAAAAGGAAAGGAGAAAATATCACTTAACCATTAAAAGGAGTAATCTTCACCAACTTGACTAGTTGACAGACACACAGGGCATTCCTCATTTGCACTCTGACCTGGAGAGCTTCATCAGGTTTAAAGGCTGCTTTCTTTTTCTCTTTCAAAAAAAAACCTATTGGTACCTTTCTATACTGTGTAAATTTTATTTTCTTTCTTCTTTTTTTATTTTACTTTATTTTTTTGAGACAGTCTTGCTCTGTCGCGCAGACTGGAGTGCAGTGGCATGATCTTGGCTCAATGCAACCTCCACCTCCTGGGTTCAAGCAATTCTCCTGCCTCAGCCTCCTGAGTAGCTGGGGTTATAGGTATGCACACCACGCCCGGCTAATTTTTTCTTTATTTTTTTATTTTATTTTTTTTGTAGAGATACAGTTTGCCGTGTTGGCCAGGCTGGTCTTAAAACTCCTGGTCTCAAGCAATCCAGCCACCTCTGCCTACCAAACTGCTGGGATGACACGCATGAGCCAGTGCACCGGGCCTCACTTTTTTTTTTTTTTTTAATAGAGATAGGGATTTGATATGTTACTTAGTCTGGTCTTGAACTCCTGGTCTCAAGTGATCCTCTTGCCTTGGCCACCCCAAGGGCTGGAATTACAGGTGTGAGCCTCCACTCCCGACCCTGTGTAAATTTTCTGATTTTACACGTCATTCTCCTCCTTACCTTCTTCCTTTCCTTCTCTCCGTCTCTCTCTCTCCTTTCAGGGCTGTTATTCTCTGAGCAAGAAAAGCATAGTCCGGCCGGGCGCGGTGGCTCATGCCTATAATCCCAGCACTTTGGGAGGCCGAGGCAGGTCGATCACGAGGTCAAGAGATCGAGACCATCCTGGTCAACATGGTGAAACCCCGTCTCTACTAAAAATACAAAAAATTAGCTGGGCATGGTGGTGTGCGCCTGTAGTCCCAGCTACTCGGGAGGCTGAGGCAAGAGAATTGCTGGAACCCAGGAGGTGGAGGTTGCAGTGAGCCAAGATCGCGCCATTGCACTCCAGCCTGGATAACAAGAGCGAAACTCCATCTCAAAAAAAAAAAAAAAAAAAAAAAAAAGCATAGTCCATTGTTTGTTTTCTTGATGTCTCTGTGTATTTTTTTAAACTAAAATGTATGCTTTTTCAAAAAAAGATACTAAAGATGATGGTTCTTCAACAAACAACAGGAAACAC